GAATGGTCACCGACTGAATCACACTGAGACGACGACGACGACGACGACGACGACAACGCAACGAGCGATGATCATTGACGACAAGACGACGTGCAAACAACTATCCATCTATCGCATTGATTGCATGTCGTTCTTGCCTTCACTAAATTCCTTATGGTCATAGTCAGATGATGGTATAAGTTCCGGTTCGCGAGATATAGAAAATTCGGTTTCAGTTTCGGTTTCGGTTTCCGGCTGTTTAAACTCGTGCTTTTCGATGTCGATGGCGTGCACAGCAGAAGTCGCCTCACCGGCAGCCCCGGCACCGGTGGTGGGACCAGCACCTGCACCAGCACCGGTGGTGATGGGAGTGGTGGTGGCGGCAGTCTGGTGGGCTTCGGTAGATGCGCTTTCGGCCTCGGTTTTGTTGAGTGCTTCCTCATCGTGCAACGGGGCTTCGATGTGCAACGGAGTTTCGACGGAATCCTTGGCAGCAGCCTTGACGGGAGCTGCTGCTTCGGCTTCGGGTTGTTCGTGGTCCTCGCGGGACTCGCGATGTTCGTAGGTTTCGGCTTTGGTGACAGTGGTTGTCACCAACTCCTCGTGTGCAGCTGGGGTGGTCGTCGACGCTGCTGACTCGGTAGACGAAGTCAGATGGCCAGGGGCCGCCATCGTCTCGTGCGACTGGTGAACAGGAACTACTTCTGGCTCCTCAACGGCGTGAGATTTAGAAGCTTCTGTCTTCCGTTCTGTGGATACAGACGACTCGGATTCATGTATCTTAGTGACCGTGGTGGGTTCAGCCTTGGCGACCTTTTCGCTCTGCTCTGCAACTGGCGAAGACGCCATTCCCACCGTGTACTCACGGGTAACCACATCACCACCTGATGAGCATACAACGCCTTTAGCAGTGGTCAATTTTCAACAACTTTCCAAAACGGTAAAAATATTACTTCGATTTCACTGTTTTAAAACTTATGCATTCCCATCGATTCTGATACACTCAGCATTTGTTTTCCACAGAGTTTTGTTCACTCTTAGGATTTAACCAACAAACGAGCTACAAGTCTGCTTACCATAAACATAAGACAACCACAACGTGAACGATTATTCAAACAGTAAAATAAATAACAGACAAACTAAAACGTTAGTAATACTGGGTGAGGAAAATGTAGGCGTCACCAGTGACCGACAGTTAAACCGTAGTCAACGTTGAAACCCTAATCGGTTCCAAGGCAAAGCGTAGAGACTAAGAACCATTCAAACTAAGGTCTGAATCGCCTATGATTCGAGGTCACAGCCTGTCATTCTTGGTCACTAGATCCTAAATTCATTAAAAGCGGTTCGAGGCTCGATTCTACCATAAAGAAACAACAATTACTGATCAATAGCATCATTATTTTGACGTCGACTACCAAAGCCGTACAGTAAAAAACTATATCTGAACAATTACCGACCAGATATCATCAAATCTGCAGTTCAATAGTGTTTGTGGTCGCAGGAGTCAGTAAATGGAAATCGAATCGAACCTACAACGGCACGCTTGTGGTTGGCGACAAACGGAAGCTGCATTCGAAAGCTTATCGGATAGAAATGATTGATGACCGTGTGAAATGGTCTATAAACCCAAACATTACGCACGACTATGATGAATAAATCGCTCAATAGCCCGGTCGGAGAAACATGCTACGGGAAGGCGCTTTCAGAAGAACAATCTATCCATTGCCCAAGCTCAGAGAAACAGATCACGAAATGAGCAGCACATGGATATGGAAAGTGCTCGAAGGCAATCAATAACCGCTCAAAAGTCGACAGCAGGAAACTTGCCGTTCGTTCAGCCTGCAACCTCAGCACCTGAGAAATGAGAACAACGTACTACGCTGCACTTGTTCTTCCACGGTTAAATTCTCCCTCCCATCCTAATAGTTGCTCACCCTTTAGAGAATCATTTATGTTACTCACCAATATGTGCGATATAGCAGTTCTTACGCTTTTTAAAACTTTGAAATTTCCATAAACATTATAATTAAAAGCTACACTATTATTCTTAATTAAAGTGATTAAAATG